AATTGATTTACAATCTTTCTAACAAACTATATTTAGCATATGAATGTTCCTTATCAAGTTATAATATCTAATTCTATACTTAAGAAATGAGTATCCTACAACAACTTTAAAGCTGGATTGCATAATAAATATTCTCTTGACATTTATAAAAGCTCTATTGTCAAATTTTTATTCCTTTATTGCTTATGTATCAAAATAGAGTATTTCATTGCTGTAAAGTAGCTTTTTCTTTTCTGCGTGTAGGTTATGTTGAACTTAATAAAGTTTCGTAAGGAGCTTATTTAAACTTTTGTATTAAAATTGGATTATTTAAGCGGCTCCTCGCATCTAGTAAGATTTCTTGGTAAGGAGATTTTCTAAAAAGAAGTCCAGTAAAGTAAGATTTTTATAATAGTAAAGAAAGATTTCTGAGCATCTATAATATTGTTCAATTCACTCACACTAAATATCTAGAACTTAAAATTGAAAAACCTTTATTCCTTCTAACAACATAATATGATAATTTGCCTTTTCAGTTATTGAGTGATAAAATTAGCTGAAAGGTAATATAAATGAATCTATTCCATAGGTAGTTTGACAGGAACCAAAAATAAGGAACGTATTATAATTTTTTTCACTCATATTAGGGAATAATTAGTATGAACATCAAAATCATTAAATTTTATAAGGTTGATGTAATTTAAATTCCCTCTGGACTAGAGTCACATGACAGTTATTCTTTTACTGTTTACATTTTGCTTTCCTCATAATATAAAAATCTAAAATTATTGACTATAATTGATTATACCCTTATTAATTCTAATCCCTGTAATTAAATGACTTTATTGAAAGTGACAGTCCATTATACTCTGTGAGTTTTCTCTCCAGTCAACTATCTATATCTTTAAATTTATACTTTTTATTTTTTAAATTATATTGATTATATTTTTTATTACTTATGCATCTGCTTATTTACCTATTGATTTTTCCTTTTATTTTTTACAAGAATATCTTCTATTTTATTCTAAACTACTTTTTATTTGTTTATCTAAAGTTTGTTCCTTTTTATTATATACTTATTCACTGTTATACTCATCGCTGATTTATTCATCATATATCATTTCTTTATGCATCTTCTTTCTCCCTTAACTTGTAAATTCATTTTTCTTCTTAATCTCCTTGCTATATGTCAATTAAACCTTCCTAATGCTTATTTGGAGCAACATTTCATAGTAATAAACATAAGCAAGCTCTACAAAAATATAGATAGGATAAAGTTGTTAGAACGTTTTAGTAATAGCATTTGATATAAGAGTATATAATCTTAAGAGTCAATAATTACAACATCCAGATAAAGATTCTCATAAGAAAATATAATAGAAACAACTAGACATAAAGGTAGATTTGATAATAAGTATTTATAGTTTTCCAGCTGACTTCCTAACCTTCGCTAACAGCTTTATATACTTAAGTTTCCTTCCATCTTGCAATTTTTTGAGTCGATTAATTATTTAAACCTCCGAATTCAATTCTTTTGAAATATCAAGACTTTTTCAAAATCAATTCTTTCCTATATATCTAACACACAAAGAAACTATTAAAATTGATTATCAGTATCGAATTAAAGAAAATTCCTTGACTTTAGTATAAGTTCTAATCTTAAAAGCTTCCTTAAATTATCTGATACAGCCTAAAATTTCTCAATATTTCTTCCTCATCCCTCTCCATTTAGCATTAAAACTTTAACTATGCACTATGTCTAAAAAATACATTGTAATAAACTTATCTTGTAAATTTATAAAATTCCTGTACTCCATCCTATACTAGTTTAATATGCAATCCTTTTGTTTGTTATTTTGGGAGTACTTTTTATTATTTCTTTTTATAGAATAATTGTGAATTAATTGTAGGACCTAATTGTTAAAAAAAGTACTGATAGAAATTTGAATTGTTAAAATATTATGAATAAAAATCAAGTTATCATTTATTAAATTGGAAGGGCGCTTTCCAAAATACAGCATCCTCTTTGTTTAAATAATAGTCTTAAATCTTCTCCTAATGAAGAGACAAATTATCCTTATAAAATTAAAGCACCATTTGCTAATAAATAAGGTTATTCACCTATTACAAAAATTGGAATGTTTGGATTAACTAAATTATCATAATAAAAAACCTTTTTATGAAACTGTATTAGGTTAAAAAAGATTAGAATGTAATTTGGCAATTAGATCTTTGTATTTTTAATTAGATGGTTAAATTGATTAACTTGATTTAACATTCCATAATCTGATTGAGTTAACATAACTACTAGCTAAAGTAGTTCCATCTGGTGAGAAGCATACTAGGACTCCATTTGAATGACCATCTAATTTGGCTTTTGCTTTGTATTTTCTTGTTTTAACATTCCATTATTTGATTGACTTATCTTAACTATCAGATGCTAAAGTAGTTCCATCTGGTGAGAAGCATACTGAGTTGACATCATTTGAATGAACATCTAATGTGGCTTTTTATTATCCTGTTTTAACATCCCACAATCTGATTGAGTTATCGTAACTACCAGATGCTAAAGTAGTTCCATCTGGTGAGAAGCATACTGA